CTACTACTAATTTAATCTCTTCCCTTGTTACAGGTCTATTCAGGAGTTCTATTTCTTCTTACATAAGTTTAGGTAGCTTGTGCCTTTCTTGGAATTTGTGTCATCTCACCTAGTTTATCTAATTTGTTGGCATACAGCTGTTCATAGTATTCCCTTATGATCCTTTGTATTTCTGTGGGTTAGCAGTAATATCCCCTCTCTCATTTGTAATTTGTAATGTGGGGGGTTTTATGCTCTTCTATTTTTTTAAATTTTATTCTTCAATTACAGTTTACATTCAATATTATTTTGCATTAGTTTCAAGTATACAGCATAGTTGACCTATGTGTTTAAAAAAAAAGTCTGGGTCCCCACCAGCACTTCCTCCCCCAAAACAAAACCACCAGAAAATTCCATTTGAGATAGATTTCAACAATTACAAAGTTACAACAGTTACAAAGGCCAACTTATAAAAAAAAAAAACACAAAATGCCTCTGGTGCAATTTGTGGTAAATGGTATTTGTATATAGTCTAATCCAGATATAAAATACCTCATAATTTCTATCACTCTTTAAAAAACTGCTTTAAAAATTATACAAATTTTACAAATTTATGACATTACTCAAATATCATCCATTGTGCATAATATCTTTCCCAGGGTCTTGAAGCATTTTAGAGGTTCAATTAAGGCTTCTGTCTTATTGGTATTTTCAAGGGGGGTGGGGGAGGTTTCAGCAGCATTTTCCAACCTTTTTTGTAGAGCATATTGAAAAAAAAAAAATCAAGTGGCAACATAAAACTTGCTAAAAACCTGAACTCAATTACAGTAATTTAAGCTGAGGTTTTGCCATGTGCGGCAACAAAAATGATGGATACCAACAAAAATACACATTCTATCCCAAAGTAATATAAAAAACCAATAATTTTACTTTTGAAGCAATAACTTCACCATAAACTGGAGTACAACACACAGAATGAGGAGACTAATAAGAAAGGCATTTACAAAAGTCAAATCCTGAACCAAAAAAGTGTATTGCAACAACTTCCCAGCGAAAGGCTGCCAAGAGAGAAAAGCTAGGAGGCTGTGAGATTACCACAACCACTAAGCTTTTGCCCGCTGGCAGGGCCTAGGTCCTTCTCTGTGTAGGGCTCTACTCAGTAATAGGTGAGTGTTGTTGAGAAGATGCTGGCCACAGTGCAGGTACATTCTGGTTTGGTCTCTAACATGTAGTAAGGAGCCTGCCTGCCTCTTTGGGGGAAGGCCTGCGGTTTCTTGGCTTGGTGGGTAAGTCTACCTAATTCTGGGGTAAAATTTTAGCAAGACCTTTAGATCATCACAGATCTAAATCCATATGCCCTACTTAGTTTGATCAATAATAAAAGTAGTATTATTTCTCTATTGATTCCTATGTCTATTTCCCAATTTGATCTCAACATAGAAGAGAAAGAAAGGATTGTTGTCTTAATCCCCTAAAACCCTGACTCAAACCTGCCATTGTAATATTTTCAAGAAGCAAGAGGCTGCATAAATAAATAGCAGATTGAAAAAAAGTGAGTTGCTTTTGGGATGTTGGCTATCATCTGCCTAAGGGCTCTGAGGTAGGCTTCCTTAGAGAAATGGTGCTGACTTTGGGTCTGTAAGATTTCCAGAAGCAGAGGATTATACTTCCTAACAAAATAGGGAGTAAAAGTTCCCACATCAGATAGTGATGGAGTGGGAAGGTTGGCTAGGGAGATAGGTAAGGATAACCACAAGAAACTAATTAACAAAAATTGTATTTCAGGGAAGTAGAAAATCACCATAAGAAAGCATTAGCAACAAATTAGGTTATACTTCGTTCTGTCACACTTGATGACTTACTGGATTCAGGTTTCTGGTAGGTGAAACTGAATAGGTCAGGCTGGTTTTTGACAAGGAATGATAACAAAGACCAATAATAACTGAGGGATCTGACCCTTATGGTTGTAAAGAAAATCACTCAGAGAGAAAGTTGTTCACTCATTTCTGAAAGACCAGTATGGATAGAAGAGAGAGAGTCCAGTAAAAAGCAGGAACTGAAGGACCATAAGAGAAAGAAGCCAACTGACTCTGGAAGTTGTTGAGACGACAGCAGCTAAGATCAGGAGATTGTAATGGCTGCTAGGAACAACTTGGACTCCACGGAAAGGAAGCAGGGCTGTATGTCTAAGGTGCAATCTGTGTAGACACCCAGGGTTAAAAAAAATTGCCACTCAAAGCTTTTATCATTCCCGAGTGAGAGATGTGAAAGGAATGGGTGTAGAGGTGGGCTGGGAGGTAATGGCAGAGAGACAGAGGCAGAGCCAGGTAAAATGTAACCTTACCAGCAATCGTGTTTCTTTGTTAAGCCAGTATCTGATGTTCTTTTCAGCCCATAGCCCTCGAACAGTACATATTTGTTGAATAACTAATTGGACGAAGAGAATGGTTATGGATAGGTCTTCACTTAGTACACTGCTATTATGAATTGTTCTGTATACAACTAATGAAATACTCTCAGTCCATGAGCATGCCATTCATTCAGTCATTTATGCAATAAACATTAATTGAGCTTTGTTAAATTCCATGTACAGGTTACTAGACTCTGGGGAATAACAAAAGACTACTTTTTCTGCTGTGAAAGGATTCTGGGGCTAGCAGGAGAAGACATCTGTTAACATTATTTTAATTTCAATAACATATTTAGATGCCATCAAAACTACTCCAACTATCCTTCCCAATACTGCACCTCCCTACCCACCCACCCCCAGTATCCCAAACTCCAAGTTGGCCTGGCTTTCCTAACACAGTAGGGAGACCGAACAGACACTATGAAAGACGTAGTTTCGTGAGGTAGTTTCTAGAAGACAGGTTCGATATTTGAAGTAGGCCATCTAAAGTAGTAATTCTTTTAAATAGGGGCTTTCACATTACTTACAATATGCACTTTGTTCTTGTCTCCTCCTTCCTCCCCAAATCTTTACTTTCCATTTCAGTGTCTGGACAAACTGAGTGCATAGACACAGATAAAGTCTGTGAGCAAATTCAAGAATGAACAAGACAAATTCCTGCTTTAATGGAGCTCGAACTGTAAGAAATTTAGTCAGGGATGGTAATTCAAAATTGCCACCAACACAGACCGTGTCAGTATCCTCCGAGTGAGGTGCTGCTCCTCCCGCAGGGGCAGGGCTATGAGGGGCAGTGGCCTTGGGGCTTGGCCGAAAGGCGGACACCAACGTCAAGGCGGGCCGTACTTGGAACTAGCCAATAGCCACCTAGGGGGCAGAGCTTTTGAAGCTGACTGGCGTAGAAACCGACCGATCAGAACCTCACTTGTGTGAACTGCGGAGGCAGACCCAGAAGAGTTCTGATACTGTAGGGGTGGTAGGTGGGGCTGAGGACGGGTATTCAGGACTACGGTTGTATACTAATCTGTAAGAAAGAGTTTCAATTTTTTAATGAGCGGTTCGGCAGTACTAATGTATATGTCTGGATATCAGTCCAAATATAGTGGCTGTCTATTTTTGTCTGCTAGGAGCTTCACCTCCTTCTGAGAAACGCTCCCCCCACCCCGCCCCCATTTAAACAATCATGTAATTCGAACGGGAGCTACTGTTTACTTGAGACTTTTTCTCCTAAGCGACAATGTTTGATGTGGGGGTACATAAGGACCATAGGTTTCTAGGACTGTTATTCATCTTCAAAACCTAGCTCAGTGTCTGGCATTTAATTAGGTACTCAAGAATTGCTTAAGAATAAATGGACCCAAGCCTTTATTGCTTCCTTTGATCTCATGTGTAAAATTTCTGCAATCTTCTGCTAATGGAAAGCCATCCTGTTTTAGCAGCTTAATTTAAATTGATTTAGGTATGTGCTTTACTCGGTTTCTTTGATAGGAGTTAAGAATTTGTTGGCAGCTCTGCTATTCAAGACTTCTGTCTCCCACCCCCGACCCCACCCCAGTACAACGTTTACAAGCTTCATGATTCTTTTATTTGACCCATTTCACAGTGTTGTCAGGTTACAGGCAAAGGATATAATAAGCTTCATAAACTTTAAAGTTCTGAACAATGTTTGTTACCACCCCCCCCCTTTTTCCATTCAGTGTAAAAGAATTGAGAACCTTCCAGATTTTGATCACAGTGTTTGCCATTACCTAGTTCTGTATCTCCCAAAGGACCAAAGGGCAGGATCTCAAAGGCAACTCCTGGCTGTGAAGGAGATGATGCTGATCAAGTCAAAGGCAAAAGCAAATCAGATTTCAGAGTTCTTGAGGTCTAAAATGCCGGGGGCAGTTTCAACAGAGACAACTCGGGCATTTTCCTGATGGCTGCTCTGTGACCTAAGATCAGTTATTCACATATACAATACATATTTTTACCAGAAAATGTTCAAGGATCCATTCGTGGATCATAAACACATAAAAAAAAAGACAAAAATTTCTGCCTAGAAATATATGAACATATACAATATTATGTGTAGAATATATAATATAGAAAATAAAAATTAAATACGAAAATATGTAAGCCTTGGCTGGATAAATCAGTTGGTTAGAGAGTTTGTCACGATAGGGCAAGGTTCGGGGTCAGAGTACACAGAAGAAAAAAAACCAATGGGTGTATGGATAAGTGGAACAGGTGGATGTTTCTCTCTCTTTCCCCCTCCCTCTCTTTCCCAAATCAATAAAATGGAAAAAAGAAAAAGAAAACATGTAGCTTGATTTTTTTTGTCTGTTATACTCCCTTTATCCAAGTACCCATCAACTCCCACCCTCCTTCCCAGCTCTCTCCCCGAACTTAAAGTTTCAAGAACTAGAAAATTCTGATTCAGTTTGTGTGCCACGTCCCTTCAGGGGTTAAGGTTTATTGGAAGCTTGAAATCCGGAAAGTAAGCGGAGCCTTGGAAGATTCTGAAGGTGGAGGGCGAGACCGCGGAACTAGTGTTCCGGTAGTTGTGATTCTCGGTGGGAAGCCAATTCTGGGGACCGGTAGTTGAACGCTCTGGAGCTTGTTTCCGGCCACCTCAGCGGGAAGCGGAGACGTAAGGGGCTGGGTCTTGGGAACTAAGCTAGAGCTAGAACTGTTGTAGCGGCGGAGGAAGTCAACCCTGCGGGCCAGTGTTGGGTCCCTGTAACCTGTGAAGATGTTATTGCTCACAATGATTGCCCGAGTGGCGGACGGGCTTCCGCTGGCCGCCTCGATACAGGAGGACGAACAGGTGAGCTACTAGATCCCCGCGACCCCAAGTACCTGCCGAATGTTGTGCCCTCAGCACCCGGAGTTCTTCTTAGGACGCTGGAGACCCTTGTGACTTCTCAGGCACTCCCGCCTCTCTGAAATGCGATTTTATCTTTTGACTTTGGAGAGACCGCCTGTTAGAAGTAATCTGTTCTGAGGGCGGAGGTAGATTTTTGTGTTATCTGTTTCTCTTAAACCGAACCAACAAACAAACATCGCTCTGGAGAATGGATAGGTTCGGCTGATTGTGATCATCTAGTCTTCTGTAACTCTCAGGGACTTTGTCAAAATCCAGGATTTCTACATTTTTGCTGCTGATAAAATTGAGTGACAGGTCATGGGTTAAAACAGCTCCTAAATTCTTCAACTTGAACACCTGATCCTTGACCTAGCTTGCTGACATCTTTTGAAAGTGGGTGAGGTAATATTGCCACATATACACACCTGTTTGAAGTTCAATACAGTACCTTTTTTCAAGGTTATGTTGAATTCCACCTCCTTCATTAAATTCTTACTGTTGGAATTAAAACTCCTGTGTAATATTCCTGTTACGATTTATACCTTTATCTTACTATTTTCCTTTGTATTAATAGTTTCCTAGCAGGCAAGCGACAGATCTTAGTCATCTTTGTGTTTCCCATAGCATTTACTACAGCAGCTTTATACTGGTAGGTGCTCAAAAATATATTGAATTTATTAAAAAACAACAACTCCAGACATCTTGAAAGGGAAGTCCTTTGTGATTCAGACACACAAAAGAAATTTCTGGTGTGAGCCAGGTTTCTGGAGCAAGGTTGGGAGGTCCTGAAGAAGGGAGGCTGAGAGTGAAATTTTATAATCTCTTTAAAGTAATCTATTTTATATTACAACCTAAGTAGTTTTAGGGGATAAAATACCTCAAGGCCTTAAAAAAAATATGCATCTTAGGAAGAACCATTCTGCACATACCTTGTCTTGTGTTTTTCATTCATATATTCATGAAAAGAAAAACGTATCGAGCACATCAAGTGTGCTAATGCAGGGGGTTAGGGGACAGAGTCCCTACTTTCATGGGGCTTAGAGTTTAGTAGAAAAGCCAGATAACTAACAATTATAATGTAGTGTAATTGCTATAGAAGGGAAAGAATGTTCTGTGGTTGAACACGGAAGAGGTATGGTATCCAAGTTGATTTGGGGAGATCAGGAAAATTTTCAGAAGAAATGACATCTAAACTGACCATAGTGTCTAGTAATAAGGAAGGCTTCTCTTTGGTTATTTGCCTTCGTAGGTTTGATCTAGAAATATGTTTACTTTTGCTTTTAGACTAACAGTGATACAGATTTTGAAATTGCATGTATGACCAGTGAAATATTTTCCATTAATTCAACATAAACACTGATATAAAATGTGAAAAAAATGGAGTGTGCCCTGAATTTTAAATTGTGAAATATTTTTCTCTTTATCGATGTGTTAAGATTTTCTAAGACCACTCTGCAGAAGGAGAGAGTGAAAGTTTAGAATCGAATCTGATTTTAACAAGCAGGATGGTGTGGGAAATATTTCTTAAAGGATATGTCATTTGACTAAGAAATAGTTTTCCCAAAGTGAGGGAAGTCTGGTCAGTTTTCCAACTATTGCATTGAATTTCAGTGTAGGCAAAAAATACAAAATGGATTTGAAGTCAACTTAATATTAGTGGGCCCTTACTCTACCTTGATACTTTATTGAAAAATTGACCTATTATTGTGTGTTTCTTAATTTTCCAAATAAGGTATTGGTTTACCAAGGTGGGTTGCTTTGTTCAGTTGACAAGGAAAGAAACTTGACCCACAAAAGATTTTTGTGATTGCAATTCCTTGGTAATTTCCTTTTAGAAATGTTGGCTTTGAATGATAAAGTCCTAAACTTTTAATATCTGCAAAAATATCGACTGTAGACTATATTTTTACCAGTACAATAGTATACAGAATGTTTACAGAATGTTCTGTGCTGAGCCTGTTGAGTGAATGATGTCATTCAATTTTCATACCAATAGGTAGTGTTATTATTCCAAATTTATGGAAGGAAGCTCTGAGGCTTAGAGAGGATAGGTCTCCTGAGTAAAGTCACACAGCTTCTAAATAGCACAGTGGAATTTTTCATCAAGGTTTCTTAACTTTGGCACTGTTGACCTTTTGGTATGGATAATTCTTTGTTGTGGGAAATTGTTCTGTGCATTGTAGAATGTCTTGCAGCATCCCTGATCTCTATACCTTAGATGCCAGTAGCATCACCCCCACCCTCCCTTCAGTTGTGACAACGAAAAATATTTCCAGGTGTACCTGGGTGGGTTTGGGGCAAAATCAACCCTGGTTGAGAGCCACTGGTTTTTAATTACTATCTGTCTGACTCGAGACCACAGCCTTAGTACCTAACCACTACACTTTACTGCCTTGTTCTAAGACTTCTTAATAATGTATTTACATCCTAGGAATCCAGAAATAACTTTTAAGAATTGGATATCTTGACCAAATAGTTTTATAGTAAGTACCTTAATTGTCCAGGCCAAATAATTTAGCGTACCTTTTCAATTATTAACATTGATAAAATAGAAACCATATTTCAGGTAGTTACTAGGTGCTAATCTCTGTACAAACTGCCTTATTACTGCATTTGAATGGCTATTTAGATAATACAATAGAGAGTAAAATTAAAAAATGATATAGGCAGAATATCTTATGCACTGTTTTCTCTGTGCTTAACTAGAAATGAGGGCCTCCGGCAGGTAGAAAGATGAATTTTTCTCTTCAAACCTAGATTCTGTAACTGATCCTCTATTTCCTTTCTTTCTTCCATCCTGCTGTGTTTCTCCTTTTCAGATGTTTGCAGTTTCTTCACTGACCTTCCTGTTCTACCTCAAAATGAACCATATTCTCTTCTCTTTATTTTGCCCTAGCTCTGTGGACTTGAAGACCTAGTAGACAAGAAAGCAGATAGTCTGTTTATAGTTAAACGAATTTTGATTAATCACCTTACTGTAATTGCTTTTAGAGGAAAATGGTTGGTTCTGGTGCTTCTGGCCTTTGACCAGTTGAGTTCAGCAGGAATTTAATAATGATAAGAGTTTAGCTAAACATTCTTGTAAGGCAGAAGATGGGACTGATACAACTGGTTGTTCCACAGTCCTAGTGACAGCAATAAAAAATATTGCCATTGTATGGCAAATTAATACCCTGTACTTTTTATATTATATACAGAACCAAATCCTAAATATGCTATTGGATGACCTCAGGTTAGTTTCAGAGTTTGTCCAGACTTCCCATCCTCTTCATTATTGGATTACTAACAGATATCCCATTACGGTGAATACAGTTTAAGTCTGTTCTGGATGAAGTAGGAAACAGAATTAGGATATCTAATCTATTTTTAGGTAGACTGGCTGACTATGGGCCCGTTGTGACTTTAACCTTGAAAACAAACTGAGGATTTATCTGTAAAGCAGTGATTATATTGTGAGGTTTAGATCTTAGCTGCCAGAGTTTTTTTTGAGCATTTCCTATGAATTAAATTTAATATTAAATGGTGAGATAGCACCTAGAAGGTGGATCTGCTATCATTGAAGCAGTGTTTTTTTAAAGGTTTTATTTATTCATTTTTAGAGAGGGGAATGGAGGGAAAAAGAGAGGGAAACATCGATGTGTGGTTGTCTCTTGCGGGCCCTCCACCAGGGACCTAGACTGGGAATTGAACCAGCAACCTTTCAGGTCACAGACCAGCACTCAATCCACCAGCCAGGGCATGAAGCAGTTTCAATTGAAGAGGTGGTATAATATGCTTAGGAGCAGGAGTTCCAGAGTTAGATTGCTTCTGCTTGGGTTCAAATGCTATCCCCTTCCTTTTCTGGCCCAGGTACTTGAGCAAGTTTGTAAACTTAAGGTGCTTACCTGCCTTTCCCTGTCAAAAAAGACATCTGTGGTTTTAGTATTTTAAAAATAGCAATGTATGAGCCATGTATGTGCAATTTGCTGGTTTAATTTGACTGGGGATAGAAATTGTGCGTGAGTGGGTTTTTTGTTTGTTTTTTAAGATCTTCAGGTGATTCTAGTGTGAAGCCACGGTAAATCATTAATTTACATTGATATTATTTCTTAGCACTTCAGTAGTGTTTTCAACTTTATTTACATTCCTTTTATCTATTGTTGTGGGGTCAGAATTCTTTTGAATGCCGCTTAATGGCAGAGGGAAGCAAACAAATTAGCAAGTACCGTTCAGACTTAGGAACATAGGATATTGTGCACTAGTTCAAAGCATGTGATATATACACTTTCCTTTATAACTGGCTGACCAGTTATGAAAAAATACACACATATATGTATGCAATATTGTTTAATGATAGTATATAATATTATTACTTCAAAGTATTAATATGTGAAACGATGTATATGCACATATATACACAGTTACATGCATATATAAACATATGTTGATAAAGAGGTATTTCTCAAGTGAACAGCATTATAACAAATAATTGCCATAAGAACAGTATTAAACTAGATAAATATACCAAATGATAGTTTTAGTGGTCTCTACCTAACTTCCCTGGTTCACTTCATGCTTATTTACATCCTTATTCATATTTAAATTTTCAGGTTACCATTTTATTTTAATTTAATTTAATTTTTTTTATTGATGCACAAATGACTTATAATATCATATTAGTTTCAGGTATACAGCATAGTGATTCAATATTCGTATATGCTGTGAAATGGTCACCACAATAAATCTAGCTACCATCCATCACCATACATAGTTACAATTTTTTTCTTGTAATGAGGACATTTAAAATTCACTCTCTTAGAACCTTTCAAATGTATGATACATGATTATTAATATTTTATTAGTATTATCTAGTACATTAGATCCTCATGACTTATTTATTTTATAACTGGAAGTTTGTACCTTTTGATCCCTTTCAACCATTTTTACCCCCTACTCTCCTTCCCTCTCCCAACCACCAGTCTGTTCTCTCATCTGTAAGCTTTGTTTTTTGTTTTGTTTTTTAGATTTCACATATAAGTGAGGTCATACGGTATTTGTCTTTCTCTGACTTGTTTCAGTTAGTGTAATGCCCTCAAGTTTCATCCATGATGTTGCAGATGGTAAGATTCCATTTTCTTAATGGCTGAATAGTATTCCATTGTGTGTGTATATATACTCATCTTCTTCGTCCATTCTTCATCCATTAATGGGCACTTAGGTTGTTTCCATATCTTTGCTATATAAATGTTATGAATGTTAAGGGTGCATATACCTTTTCAAATTATTGTTTTCATCTTTAAATAACTACCCAGAAGAGGGATCACTGGATCTTATGAGAGTTGTTGTTTTTTGTGTGTTTTTTTTTTAATCTTCATTTGAGGACATGTTCATTGATTTCAGAGAGAAACAAAGGGTGCGGGGAGGAGAGGGAGAGAAAGAGAGAAAGAAACATTCAAGTGGGAGAGAAATATCAATCAGCTGCCTCCCATAGGTGTCCCAACTACTGGGGACCAAACCCGCAACCTAGGCATGTCGCCCTGACCAGGAATCAAACCTGCAACCTTTTGGTGATGGGACAGTGCTCCAACCGAGCTCCTCAGCCAGCCAGGGCAGTGGTTCTATTTTTAATTTTTTGAGGAAACCCCATACTGTTTTCATGGTGGCTGTACCAATTTACATTCCTACCCACAGTGAAAAAGGGTTTCCTTTTTTCTATATCCTCCCCAACACATATTATTTCTTGTCTTTTTTTATACTAGCCATTCTTATAGGTGTGAGGTGGTATCTTACTGTGGTTTAGATTTGCATTTCCAGTTCACCATTTTAAATACAGCTATACTGGTACATTGCTTATCTGCCACTTAATTTTTCATTGCTTCCTTGTGTTTACTCTTATAGCTCAGTGGTTTACTATCTAGAATTTTAAGATTTAATTTTATAGTTTTTCGATATTAGACCTCACATCCAGGCTGGGGGCAAACCTTGCATAAACACTTTTCTATTTAAACATGTAGTTATCAAACATCTGTCAAGGAGAGACTCTATCAGTTATTCAAACCAAAATAAATAATCCCAAAATAAAATAATTCCTTCCCATCACATGGCAGAAGTTTTCCCCCAGTATGTAGGTGAAAAAGTAATGCATATTCGCTTTCCATTCTTCTACATTCTTCTCCCTTTTAGATCTTGTAGGTTAGTAAGAGATGATTTTTTCTCCTTTTGATGACACTGCTCTTTCCCCCAGTAGACTTTTCCCCTCTTTTTCTCTTAAACAAAATTATAAAATCATATAGAAATTGTTCAGGGAAATATCACTTGCAATTCTGGCATCTGAATATAATTTTCATATTTTTATGCATATATCCCTTGCTTTTTAAACTTTTGCTATCCAGACTTGGGGACCAAATATTTGTTCAGTAAAGGATACTTGACTTTCCAATCTTTGTCCTCACTTTTGTTCATTTTTACTTAGTTGCAGTTAGTGTTTGTAAGAATTTGAACAGTCATTGGTGCACACATTTACTTTTGCTGATGTGCTCAATACTGTAACACTTTGTGGAAGATTTTGCTTGACATTCTGGCATAAAAGTTAAACTTACCAGTTTGCTGTTCCCAGAACTTTTCCCAAGTACACAACAAGTTCCGAGTACAGTTCCCTGCCAGTAACTGTACAAGTGAAGTGGGTTATGAGGAGGCACTGGCTTTATAGTGGAAAGAACACTGGATTGAAAGTTTAGAGTACCTCAGAGATGTAAATTACAGCATAGGGAATATAGTCAATAATGTTGTAATAACCAGGTATGGGGCCTGGTGGGTACTGGAAACATTTATGGGGAGCACTCTGAAGTACATGATTGTCAAACCACTATGCCGTACATCTGAAACTAACGCAGAATAATATTGAATGTAAATTAATTGAAAAATTTAAAAAGAGGTTATTTTCAAAAAGTACAACAACCAAAAGGAAGTTAAGAGTGCCTTAAATATAGTTGAAAAGTATACTTTTTTCTTAGCAAGTAACTAATATGATTTTCTTGAAAACTAGGAATTTGATTTTCTTTTTTGCTATAAAAGTAGTCCTGTTTGTTTGTTAAAATGAATATTACTAACTTGTAAATGAAGGGCCTTGTTCACATAGTGTCCTCATATGCTGATGCTCCTCACTAATTTATAGTTTGAGTGTGTGTGTAAAAAATTAAGTGAAAGTGTCTTCTTTCAGTCTGTCCGAGATCTTCAGAAGTACCAGAGTCAGGCTAAGCAGCTCTTTCGAAAGTTGAATGAGCAGTCCCCAACCAGATGCACCTTGGAAGCCGGCACCATGACTTTTCAGTGAGTACAACCCTGATTTCTTTGTGATCATTTCAGTGTGAAATACAGTGAGTGTGAGTAACACCTGATGAGAACAGTAACAATTTTTTAAAAGCGAAGGTAACTTTAGCGACTTCTGGCTAAGATGGAGGTGTAGGTAGATGCACTGTGCCTCCTCGCACAAACAAAACTAAGGACAACAAAAATTTAGAAACAAGAAAACAACCAGAACAGAGAGAAATGAATTGAACGGAAATCTGACAACCATTCATCCAGACCGGTAAGGAGGGGTGGAGTTGGAGGCCTACGGAGAGGGGTCGAGGGGTCCTGGCAGGAAAAACCAGTGGCTGGCAAATGCGGGTGTGCAGGGCTCAGGCAGCAGTTGGTGGACCCCAGAAGCGCAGGGGCAGCCGACGGACCTGGTGGCAGACCCTGGGTGTGGGAGGCAACGAGCAGACCTAGTGAAGTGTGCAAGGCAGCTGGCTGTCCACAGTCATATATTCACGTGCAAATAAATAGGCGAAAGTGGGCAGCGACACAGACTGTGCAACCCAGGGACCCAGCGCCAGGAAACAAAGCCTAAAAGCACCGATTGGAAACACCTGTGGGGGTTGAGGCCCAGAGAATCTCCCAGCCTCACAGGAGAGTTCCTTGGGGAGACCCACAGGGTCCTAGAAAGCCCGCCCGCCCAGGAGCCAGCACCAGAAGGGCCCAATCTGCCTGTGGGAAGTGGCAGAGGGGACTGAAGTCCTAGAGAGAGCGGAGCAGGTGCCATTGTTCCCTCTTGGACCCCGCCCCCACATACAACATCACAGCCCAGCAACTGGGGTACCCCGCCCTGGTGAACACCTAAGACTACACCCCTCATATGTAACAGGCACAACCAGACCAAAGGGGAGCGGAAAAGATGGCTCAAACAATTGAAAGCCCCTCGGCCAGTACTTTTAAGCAAATGAGAGTTAGCCAACTTATCAGATGCACAGTTCAAAGCACTGGTGATCAGGATGCTCACAGAATTGGTTGATTTTGGTCACAAATTAGATGAAGAGATGAAGGCTATAATAAGTGAAATGCAGAAAAATGCACACGGAACCAATAGTGATGGAAAGAAAACTGGGTTTCAAATAAATGGAATGGACCAGAAGGAAGAAAGGAACAACCAAACAGAAAAGAATGAAGAAATAAGAATTCAAAAAGATGAGGAGAGGCTTAGGAACCTCCAGAACATCTTTAAACGTTCCAACATCCAAATTATAGGGGTACCAGAGGGGAAGAGGAAAAACAACAAGTAGAAAAGTTATTTAAACAAATAATAAAGGAGAACTTCCCCAATCTGGCAAGGGAAACAGACTTCTAGGAAGTCCAGGAAGCTCAGAGAGTCCCAAAGAGGTTGGACCCAAGGAGGAACATGCCAAGGCACATCATAATTACATTAGCCAAGATTAAAATGAAGGAGAGAATCCTACAAGCAGCAAGAGATAAGGAGACAGTTACCTACAAAGGAGTTCCCATCAGAATGTCAGCTGATTTCTCAAAAGAGACTTTGCAGGCAAGAAGGGGCTGGAAAGAAGTATTCCAAGTCATGAAAGGCAAGGACCTACATCCAAGATTGCTCTATCTAGCTAAGCTTTCATTTAGAATGGAAGGGCAGGTAAAGTGCTTCTCAGATAAGGCCAAGTTAAAGGAGTTCATCACCACCAAGCCCTTATTATATGAAATGTTAAAGGGACTTATCTAAGAAAAAGAAGATAAAAAATATGAACAGTAAAAAAAGATATCAAACTCACAGTTAGTAACAACCACACCTAAAACAAAAGCAAACTAAGCAAACAAATAGAACAGGAACAGAACCACAGAAATGGAGATTACATGGAGAGTTAGCAACAGGGGAGTGGGAGGAGGAGAGAGGGGGAAACGGTATAGAGAACAAGCATAGACAATAGGTAGAAAATAGACAGGGGGAAGGCAAGAATAGTATGGGAAATGTAGAAGCCAAAGAACTTAAGACACATGGACATGAACTAAAGGGGGGAATGTGTGTGGGAGGGGGTGGGCAGAGTAGAGAGCAGTGAAGGGGGGAAATGGGATAACTGTAATAGCATAATCAATAAAATATATTAAAAAATAAATAAATAATAGTGAAGGTAACCTTAAAAGTATAGCCTCTTCATGGAAACAACTTCCCTAGCGCTATTTCTGTAAAACTGGAATCGTGGTTTGTTTATTTGACTTGCACACAATAATTTAACCTGTTATCCTATGTCTAGTGAATGCTGTACCTATCATGAATGCAATAATATGTAGCTTTTTGCTTTAGGGCATTCATAGAGCTAGACACGTGCAGGGTAGTACCGTGCTCAAACATTTACTAACAACGTAACCTTGAAAAATTCCCATATACTTCCCCAGGCCTCGGTTCCCTCTATAAAATAGGAGAAGTAATCATAGTTGTGATTATACATGGAGGGAGTCCGTGTATATCTCTTAATAGTTTGCCTGGCACATAGAGAGTAGTCAATAACCGTTAGTTATTACTTAGAAAAAAAAGAATTATAAAAAACACTTTAAGAGCATTCCATTTAGTGGTTATAGATAATGCATACAGCTGAGAGAGGGATCAAAGTCACTTCATTGGATTTCAAATTATCCACAAATAATTGGTATTATATGTTTAATACATATGAAGTTTGAACATGATAAAACAGGAAGGATTTAAGAAAAAAGAGGACATGAAGAACAGAGAAAAACATAAAAGGACTAGCTGAGTAACCTTACTATTTTAAGAACTCGGATAACTAAGGTAATATAGACCTGGGAGCGACCTTCTGTATTCAACTTAAAAGGACAAAAAAAATCTTCACTCATCAGAGATAAGCAAATAAGCATACAAAACCAAAACAAAAAACCATGGCCTATTGGTTAAAATAGTGGATATTAAGTTTCATAAGGTATTAATTTGTATAGTGTATAAAACATTTTCTATAAATCTAATTTTTAATGTCAAAATGTTACAGGCACTTAATTATATAGTACCTTTGTATCTATCATGGGTAAGGAACAAAAGAAATGAAAAACCTAGGAGAGTTCTCATAGAATTGAAAAGAGATTTTCTTTTGCTTTGTTTCTTTGGGACCTTTATACTTAATCTTCATTTCCATCCAAGAGCTATTTCCTAAAGATTTATTCTTTGCCAGACCATGTTTTAAGTCCTGTCTTTAATGGCCATAGCTTTTAATGAACTTATCCTCTTATTAGCAGAGAGACACATATGCAAGCAACTATAAGGCAAGAAGTGCTACCATTCGGGTATAACTGAAATGCTTTGGGAGCAAGGGGGATGAAGCAATACATTTCCATTTGTAGGGAGTAAGTTTGAGGAAAGGGGATAGAGGGGGACTATAAAGATATTTCATAGAAAAATTATAGTAGAATTGAGCATATGAAAATTAACAAGGTTTCCTCAGGTACATAAAAGAGTATTACAGTTATAATACTATGAAAGTAGAAGTCCACGAGGATGGGAAGGAACCTAGCTTGTTGGAAAACAGCATGTCATATAGTGTATTAGGAAATATGACGTAATGTGGTCTACACTTGTTTTGGAGGGTTACAAATACTATACCAACGAGTATGATTTTCTTTTATGCATACTGGGGACCCCCAGAGCTTTTAAGTAGGGTAATATGGTTCTTTTCACTTGTTAGGAATAAAACCAATGGTTTAGATTAGAAGATGGTTTAGACTGATGGCAAAGAGACTAGTTAACTCAGGTACCCAAGTGAGAGGACAGCAATGTTGTTATATAACATCATCATCATCACTGTCATCATCATCATCATCATCATCATCATCATCATTGTTTTAAAGGGCCTGAGAGATCACATAATGGACTGTAAACACTACTCTGTGGAGTTCTAGGATGCCTTAGGAGCAGGGTATGTGTAATACTTTAGGCCCTTAGACTCCTACTTAAACTAAAGAACTTATTTATTATACATATTGGTTTCCTGAATGTAATTTTTGCTAAAGAAAGAGTATAGTGGCTAAAAAGACAGTTGAAAGTCACTGTGTAGCCTAACTTCTTCCCAAGAGTGTGGAATGTAATCATGAAGCCCCTTCCAGGCCAGGAGGCTCACTGCTCACTCTCACAAGAGGAAGTCCTTCTGTTACTGGGTGGTTTCCAGTTGAACAGAGCACGCCTACCCTAGACAGGGAGTATCAATAGTCCTGAGGTTGTTATTTTCTGTACCCAGTGACATTGTGGCATTAATGTCCAAATTTTAAGTATCCACACAGTTTTTTAGTTTCACTGTTTTTGTTACAGCTAGAAGGAGTTTAAAACTGTGTATAGTAGTTTACCATATGTAATCAAAGGATGGATATAGTCACAATTCCATGGTTTCGCAATAAAAGCCTTAGGTATTAGGATATTTTAGTTGAAGAATTATATAGTGAATAGATAATTATAATAAACATGTCTAGATACTCCTTTTGCAATATACTTCTAATAATAGATGTTTGCTTCTGATTTAGGTTGGTTTAGATGTAGTTTCAGGTTGGCTTCTGATTTAGTTATCTTCAAAGGGCTTAAGTTAGAATACTTTTAAAAGTTTGTATGGTGCTGAGAGTCTGCTCGAGATTGTTAGAGGTATTGTTACTCTACAAAAACTTTTCTTGCTTTTTTGTTCCTCCAGCTACATTATTGAGCAAGGGGTGTGTTATCTGGTTTTGTGTGAGGCTACCTTCCCTAAGAAGCTGGCTTTTGCCTACCTAGAAGATTTGCACTCAGAGTTTGATGAACAGTATGGGAAGAAGGTGCCCACTGTGTCCAGACCCTATTGCTTTATCGAGTTCGGTAAGTGTTTGCTCCTCGCCTCTGTATCAAGGGAGCAAAGAATATGGAAAAACCTATTTGTTATGCTGCTATAATTTTCACATAATTGTACTGATGTTTACATACTGAAGTAGTGGATTCTGCCTCTCCCATCCCACCTCTTCTTGTTCTTTTGAATGAATGGGGCTTTCTTCTTATAAGTAATTTTCTCTGGTCTTTTGATCTTTTCCCAATAGAACTCGTTGCCCTTTGCCCTTTTTGGTTATTTGGTTTGATTCTTCATTAGGCTCAAGAACTGTGCCTAAAGATCTACTAGATTGGCATATAATAGCTGTGTTCTTTCCCCAAACCCACAGACACATCCACACACTCACACATTCACAGTGAAGCTCATTTTATGGAGGTCAGAATTTGATAATCAGAAGAATGATGTTTTGTTTCTTTTAGAAAAGTAAGATTCTCTAATTTTAAAGAAAAGTACTAGAAGATAGATGTCATTGGGGGATAACATTTACTACATGCAGAAGTAGTGAACACAGGTGTTTATCTATAAAAGAATTACAGACTCATCACTGCTCAGACCTGTTAAAGTAGCTGATGGCAATAGGTCAGAGGGAATGACCTGAGTACAGCAAGTGGAGGAAGTGAGAACAAGTATACTCAGACTACATCACTGACATTTTTTGTTAAAGAAATTGGTTTTTACTGTCCCTGAGTTTCTGAAGTGTTTCAGGTTTCCTAGATAAGATCATTTGCTTTTCAGAAATAAATAAAATTTAGCAAAATACTCCAGTGTTTTTATAATTCCAAACTCTCCAAGTGCTAATTTTTTAATGTCTGTTTTTTCAAATTTTACTTTTATAGATAATGGCGGTCCAGTAAACCCAAGAAAAAAATAAGGCTACTGTTGTCAGGGTCACACAGGAGATAGTTGATACACTCAAATTAGGTTAAAGGTTTATATGCAAAGATATGAATGGATATAGGAGGACTGCAAGGTACTGGACAGTAATCATTACCATCCCTAGGTGTGGAGGGATGAGAGGAAGGGGCAGTTTCTGGATTAGGGAAGGAGAAAATTTATAAAAGCCAATTTGAGCCATGGCTGGTGTGGTTCAGTGGATTGAGTGCCGGCCTGCAGAACAAAGAGTCACAAGTTCGATTCCCAGATGGGGCACATGCCTGGGTTGTGGGCCAGGTCCCCACATGTTGGGGGCATGAGAGAGGCAACCACATATTGATGTTTCTTTCCCTCTCTTTCTCCCTCCCTTCCCCTCTCTCTAAACATACATAAATAAACAAACAAACAAACAAATAAATTTTTTAAAAAAGAAGAAGGCCAACTTGAGCTGTAACTTTTGGTGGAGGAATAGTGCCAGCCCAAGGTGACTTCTCAGAGATAAATACCCTGATGTCACTATTCACTCTTCTTTCCTACCCTTGGGGTTCCCCCTTTCACTGAACCTAGCTGGAACCTATGGGACAAGGAGCCCATTGATATAGCCTATGTAGGTCAGCTTCCCAAGGCAAAAGCTGGGTGCAGAACGGTGGAGAGGAGATCTAAAGAGGCAAATGAAAGGCACCCAGCACACACAGTTTAAGATTTTTGCCAAATGTTGAGAATATAATCTTTAATAATGTCATTCTTTTGAGAAATTTAGACATGGGCTAAATATGAATGAGACTGCAGTTTTATAGCAGATATTTGGGAAACACCCTAACACATGCTTGCTTAACCTGAAGTTTGCAAACAGTGAAATTGGGAATGTATGTTAAAGAAAATACTTTAAGATAATATTTTCAATCTTAAAAAAAGGTTTATTTATTTTTAGAGAGAGGGGAAGGAAGGGAGAAAGAGGGAGAGAAATATCAATCTGTGGTTGCCTTTTGTGAGCCCCCTACTGGGGGTCTGGCCCACCACCCAGGCATGTGTCCTGACTGGGAATCGAACTGTTGACCCTTTGGTTCTCAGACTGGCACTCAATCCACTGAGCCACAACCAGCCAAGGCTTTTTCAACTTGTTAATGATAGAGTGACTCTTTTGCCATGTTAGCCTGTAGAAATGCTAGATGATTGCCAGCATCCTTTTCAGGGAATGTGTCGAGTTAAGTAATGAAACCCTTAGGGTGCTTGAAATATAGTTTGAAAATTTCTGCTTTCAGGAAAGGCTTACAGTAGTGGGTCTTAATCTCTCTAAGGATCCTGAGAGTATATACTTCTAATTCAGAGTTGTACAAAGGGCATTTCTTCTGAATGGTCATCTAATTATATTTTTACATGTTACAAATGAAGACATCAGAACTCAAAGTTTGACACTCATTCAAGTGCTTGATTTAACCATGGAGAGTTGCAATAGAGGGCTGAACCTAGAACTCTGTATTGCCTACTTCAGTACTTTGAAGGACATGAAAGAAGTCATTAATGGTCATTTTTCTTCATCATTGTAGAGACCTACATTCAGAAAACCAAGAAGCTCTACATCGACAGCCGTGCTCGGAGAAACCTAGGCTCCATCAACACTGAATTGCAAGATGTGCAGAGGCTTATGGTGGCCAATATTGAAGAAGTGTTACAACGAGGAGAAGCACTCTCAGGTATCTGAAAGCAATATGGGTCTTATGAAGAGGTGGTTCTCATCCTTATATCCTTGCCTGTGGGAAATCTAGATATCCACAGGCAAGGATAGCTTATGTTGGGGTACCTTTTATGCTGCCAGATTCTATTGAGCACTGTTAAGAATTCATCTCTCAGAAACAGATTACATTGTAAAACTTCCAGTATGTTTTTCCTAGTGTCGTTAGTTTTTGTGGAGTTGAAACTGTATAAGGATCTCATTCCATATCAGAAGTAATTACTGTGTCTAAGATATTTACACAATTAAATATTTACAGGAACACCTACATAAGTTAAGGGAAATGAAAAGAAGAATGAGAGGAAATTGTCTATTGCAGTGGTTTCCTGAGTAGGCACTTCAGGTGACTTTACTGCTGCCAGAGCAAAAGTTATAAAATGCCATTTTCATCAAGGCATTCCTCAGCTGAAAAACTTTAAAATCTCTTACTGCAAGATAAGATCTAGTCTGGTCTCAACTTACTTTTCATTCAGTCAGTCATTATTACTTGCCAATGCACAAAGCATTGTGTACTCTGTGATGGAAGATAAGAAGATTAAGAGCTGCTCTCCTTCCGGGTTCACAAACATTCTGACTCATTCTGGTCATCCTGGAACTGTTCTTTAAAATCTAGATAACAACTGCCGCTCTTTTTTTTTTTTTTACTTGATTTTTTTTTAGAGGGAGAAGATGGGGGTAGGGAGAGAGAAGAGAGGTATTGATTTGTTTTTCTATTTATTTATGCATTCATTGGTTAGATCTTATATGTGCCATGACTGGGGATTGAACCTGCAACCTTGGTGCATTGGGATATCGCTCTAACCAAGTGAGCTGGCCGGCCGGGACCTTTCTCTTTGCAAAAGCCTTTTCTGATCCTTATAGCTCACATCACATTAAACCCTTCAAAGCACTTAGCTACATATTTTGGGGGGGGGGGTGCATATAATGGGGTATTTGTATGTAAATGTGTATATGTTCTTGCTTACCTATTTACCTGAAATATAAATATATACTTTATAGTGTATATTTATATTTAATGTTGAAATATTATGTAAGTGTTTAAATGTTAACTGAAGTGTTTAATGTGAGCATGTACTATTTAAAGGTAGTGCTTATGTTTCATGTCTATTTCATATACTTCTTTTATGCCTCATAGTAGTGATCACAAGTAGATATCTTAATGAATATTTCTTGAATTTAACAAGAAAATTGCAACCTATTCATGAATAACTTTTTTAAAATTATACATTGCAAAATTTAACCTTTATGTTAGTGGTAAGAAGTTGTCCCAGCGTATAGCTTCACATTCTTTAAACATCAAATTTTAAGTGAGTCTGTGTATATTTTCATCACAACAGACTTACAGTTTCTACCTGAGATAAAGTAGACCTGCATAGGAATTTTTTAAAAATTCAAAATATATACTACATTGGTTAGTTTATCAAAAGTGTAAAGAATTCTCTTCTAGGGCTTTGCTGGTTGCTACATAGCTGATACGCTGATTGAAAAAGAAATTTACATTTAAGCCCTGGCCAGAGTGGCTCAGTTCCACAAAGCTAAAGGTTGCTGAGTTGACTACTGGTCAGGACACATGCCTCGGTTGCAGGTTAGGTCCCCAGTTGGGGTGCATGCAAGAGGCACTAGTCGGTGTTTCTCTCCCTTTTTCTCCCTCCCTTCCCCTCTCTCTCTAAACATAAATAAATAAAATCTAAAAAATAAAAAGAGATACATTTATACCCCAAAGTAACTTGATCTGATTGGGAAAATAGGAAACATTGTCACAGAGCAATTTATAGATGGTATAAGGAAACAAATATCAGTTGAACACTTTGTGCCAGGTAGTGTGGTAAGGGGATTACATATATTTTACATATTCTTTGGCATAATCCCAGGTGAGGTGCATGGTATCAAACCAGTTTTACAGATAAAGCAGCAGAAACTCAGAAAAGTTTAGTAGCTTACTAAAAGTGCCCCTGCTAGTGCCTGGTGGAATCTGTTGGCTGCAGCGTTGTCGTCCATCTCCAGCATAGGATAGTTTTAAACAGACATATAGACAAAGAGACTATAAAAATGTAGAAGGAAGTAGATAAATGTGAACTGAGCAGGAAAGATTTCTTGAAATTTGATAAATCAGGAAGGAGTGAAGAGTGGTATTTTAAGAGAAAGAAAAAGCATTTCTGAACAGAGCATATGAGAGGGACAGTGAAAAGATGAGCCTACCTCAAAAAAATTTATTCTCTAAGCTTCTTCATAATAAGAATCCATCTTTTATGCCTTCTTCTCTTTCAGTTTTTTTAAGTTGTATAGTTAGTCTACTTTGCATCTAAGATCCAAGAATAGTTCTTATGGGTTCTTTCTGCAAGATCAAATTATGCCCTTTTTTACTGCCTAAATATACTGTTTCTTTTAAGCCATGGATTTCATTCAAAGGTGTCACCCTACTAGACTGTAAATTCCACAGATACAGGGATCAAAAAAACATGTTTGACCATCATCGTATCCTCCGGCACTTTACGTAGTGCCTTCACATATTTCCTAAATGACTTTTCCCAGCAGTAGCTTTGTGTTAATGCTATTGTGTGCTTCTAAATGTTCCTATGTAAAGGAATTCTCTTACCTATTACTTATTTCATATTTCATATGTTTGTTCTTCTGCCCAGTTATTTCCAGTGGATTTAGATTCACTTAGCAAAGATTTATGTATTGAGTACTGACTATATGCCAGACCCTGTCCTAGTTACTGGCAATACAGCTATCAACACAGTAGTTAAAAACCTCTGTCCAGTAGGTTATACACTTTAGTAGACTGGTTAGAAAGATTTCTTACAGCACTGTCATGGTTATTTCTCAGCCTATAACCTTTTTTTAACATGACTAGGTATTTTTCTTGTAGACAAGTTGATAATTTAGATGTGGTTGTCATGCCTGTGTTACCAAGTAATAGCACATTTCTCAATCAAACCAGTCTCTATTAGGCAACTGCAAACATTCCAAAAGCATTCTCTGAGGGAGAACATGCAAATTCAGATTGCAAAATACTTATTCAAAAATTTAAAGAAGTACAATGTTTAATCAACATTCATTTATATCAAACTGAGAGCTTTTATTCTACTTGTTTTTATTATTAAAGTATGCTGTATACTTTAGTTCAGTCTAGCTTGTGTCTGTTTGGCTATTTCTCTAAGTGCTCAGTTCACAATTATAAGAAGATAATGACATTACAAATGTTCTTGTAGGAAAAATAAATGATGCAAAAGATTCTATAAAGCTTGATTTAGTAGATATAAGTAGTTTTCTAGCACCTGTCACTGTATTTTAAGTACAATACAACTTTCCTAAGTCTGTTGAGAATAATTGCTGGAGAATCTTAGAAATTTGGCATTCACCGTTGAAATAAAGCTTAATACTCAGAGTTTGGTTCCTTGAATTTTCTGGGCACATGAGTCTTATTTTACATATGTTATTATTTTTCATAATATGAGAGAATGTGATTTAGACTGTTGAAGGATTATGGAGATGCTTAGGACAGCCAGCATTTCTCAGATGTTTACTGTATGCAGGCACTGCACTCACTTTAGAGGCATTCTCATGTACCCGTACTCCGGTGATAAGTTTCTGTTATCCCCATTATATGTTGAATAGATTATGAAACTGGGTCTTTGGAGAGGCTGAGTTGACCAGTGTCACATGGCCAGTGCATCTGAAATTTGAACCAAAGAGTCAGCGGCCAAAGTCTGCACTCCTAACCACTTCACTATTCAGTCTCAAGAATTTGAGCATAATTTGGCCTGATAATTTTAAACTGCATTGTAGAAGGACTTCTGGTCAAGATGGGAGCATAGGTAAACATAGCTTGCCTTCTTGCACAGCCACATCAAAGTTACGACTAAAATATATAACAACTATTGCTCAGAAGTGGCAGAAATTGAGTTCATTGGGAGTCTGACAACTATGAAATTAAACCACATCTATCCAGACTGGTAGGAGGGGCAGAGATGTAACAGGCTGGTCCCACATCCACGTGTAGAAGATAAAAATTCCAGGAGGAATATCTCAGGGGTGAGGAGTCCCAGCCCTACACCAGGCCCCCCAAGCCCAGGGCCAGTGCCAGGAAGATAAATCCCCATACTTTCTGGCTGTAAAAACCAGCAGGGATTGAGTTAGTGAAAGAAAATTCTAGAGTCCCAAGCAGTTCCACTTAAAGAACCCACCCACAAACTTTCTCAGACTCACTTCCTCTGAACTCCAGCATCAAGGTAGCAGCTTGAAAGGCACCATGGCATATAGGGAGGAACTGAAGTGTCTAGCATCAAGGTGAGACAACAGCTTTTTTTTTGTTGTTTTTTTTTTAGACAGAAAGGTGGTCAGAGCCACAGAGCCAACAGATATGTGCCATATCTGAGAATCCATCAACGTGGCTAACACTGTGTTGCCCTGGAGATCGCATGAGGATCCCACCCAACTTACAGCTGTTAACACTAGCTTTTCCGTATGAATGGCTGGTCTTGGCTTATGCTTCACAACTTCCTAAATCCTTTCAAACAAGCAACAACTGGACTCACTGAGCCACCAGCCCCTGTACCTCTTGTTAAGTGGCTCCAGACATGGCACTAGCAGCAGCCAGCCTAGATTCACAGCTTGGCTTCCTCTGGGAATCTCCAAGCCCAGCACAAGTAGTAGCCATCACAGATTGCTTTATAGTTCAGGCAAGGTTGCCCTGGGCAAAACATATGTGGGGGCTGACCTTGGCCTGCACCACCTGGGAAACCACAGGGCCTATGCACCCAGTAGACGACTACAGACCACATTGGAGCACCACCGCCCTGCCACTACACAATTGATTCTCTGTGGAGGATGGAGGTTGGTGGTCTGCAGTCACAGCCAATCTTTGCAACTTACTGGCCTGGGTAAATCCCTCCCATTGACCTGCTAACAGCAACCAAGGCTCAACTACAAGAGGAAGGTGTACTCGGCCCACACAAAGGGTGCACCTCAAGTACCCAGCTTAGGTGATAGGGAAGGCTATGCCACTGGACCCCACAGGACACCTATTACATTAGGTAACACTACCAAAACAGGGAGTCGTAGCAGCTCTACATAATACATAGAAACAAACACAGGGAAGCTTCCAAAATGAAGAGACAAAGAAACATGACCCAAATGAAAGAACAAATCAAAACTCCAGAAGAAGAGCTAAACTGGAGATAAGCAATCTATCAGATGCAGAGGTCAAAACACTGGTTATAAGGATGCTCAAGGAACTTAGTGAGGACCTCAGCAGTATGAAAAAATCCAGTCAGAAGCAAAGGACACACTAATTGAAATAGAGAACAATTTACAGGGAACAACAGTAGAGTGGATAAAGCTGAGAATCAAATCAATGATATGAAACATAAGGAAGCAAAAAACAACCAGTCAGAACAAGAAGAAAAATATTCCAAAAAAAAATAAGGGTAGTGTAAGCAGCCTCTGGGACAACTTCAAGCATTCCAACATTTGTATCATAGGGGAGCCAGGAGAAGAGAAGGAGCAAGAAATTAGAAATTTATTTGAAAAAAATAATAAAAGAAAGCTTCCTTAATCTGGTGAAGGAAATAGACATGCAAGTCCAGGAAGCACAGAGAATCCCAAACAAGATGGATGCAAAGAGGCCCACTCCAAGACATCATAATCAAAATGCTAAAGGTTAAAGATAGAATCTTAAAAGTAGCAAGAGAAAAGCATTCAGTTATCTACAGAGGAGTTCAGCTGACTTCTCAAAAGAAACTTTGCAGCCTAGAAGGGATTGGCAAGAAATATTCAAAGTCACGAAAAGCAGGGACCAATAGCCAAGATTACTCTACCCAGCAGAGATATCATTTAGAATCAAAGAGCAGATAAAGAGCTTCTCCAACAAGAACAAACAAAAAAAGTTCATCATCACCAAAGCATTATTATATGAAATGTTAAAGGGACTATTTACAAAAAAGAAGTTCAAAACAATGAACAATAAACTGGCAATAAATACATATTTAACAATTGAATCTAGAAAACAAACTTAGCAAATGAGAACAGAGACAGAATCATGTATATTGAGAGCATTGTGATGGTTGCCAGATTGGAGGGGGATGTTGAAATTGGGTGAAGAGGTGAAGGGATTAAGAAGTGAAAATCTGTAGTTACAGAATAGCCATGGGAATATAAACCATAGTATAGGAAATGAAATAGCCAAAGAACTTATATGCATGACCCATGGACATGAACAATGGTGGAGGGGGGGTTGTCTGAGGGAGTAGGGGGTGCTGGGTGGAGGGGGGCAAAGGGGAAAAATCCGGACAACTATAATAGCTTAATCAATAGAATATAATGTAAAAAATAAAGTGCATTATAGATTTTTCAGTACTTTAGTATCATGGATTAATCAGTACATACTACCTTACCCTTAAAAATGATAATTTAAGCTTCATGGTGGTTTGGTATAATATCACTCATTTTGGTTATTTTTATGTCTTAATACATTTGATAAAATACTTCCATGTACTAATTAATATTTTCCTTTTTTTTCTTCTTTGACAGCATTGGATTCAAAGGCTAACAATTTGTCCAGTCTGTCCAAGAAATACCGCCAGGATGCGAAGTACTTGAACATGCGCTCCACATATGCCAAACTTGCAGCAGTAGCTGTGTTTTTCATCATGTTAATAGTGTATGTGCGATTCTGGTGGCTGTGAAGTAGTGAACCCGGTCACTGTCAAGGGAGAGCCTAGAACCTGGCAGGTGTATATTTTCAGGAAACTGAGCTCACAGAGATGTGTATTAGAATCCAAGCGGAACTTACGCCTCTAAGGACTTTGCAAGAAAAGACATATCCTGAAAATGAAAGATTACACCTCATTTAATAAAGCTTAACCCTATGTAGAAAGTCTCTTTTGGGGGCAGAGGCTTTCTCTGGGTACTAAGCCATGTATGTTAGGGAACAGTAGATTGTTTTGTTTTGTGTTTTCTTTCCCAGTTGTTTTACATTTTTAAAACAGCACTGACTGGGGAATTCTCATTCTCAATCGGAGCCATCAGTGAGATTTGACTTAACCAACCTGTGTTAGCAACAGTCAGAAATTCCTTCAGAGAAGAGAGTCTTCTGGGCAGGTTTTGACTCTATCTGATCAACATTCCTTTTGTTGGTGACATTGTAATTTTCAGTAATCTGAGTTTTTTGATGGCCTTTTAAATAAGACTCCAGTATGTGAAGGTTAATTGATGTGCTGCAAAGAATCTTGTCTGTTGGCCCCTGTAGCAAGTTAACCTTTGTTATTTTTCTTTTATATTTTGCTTATTGCACAATTGCTTTAGGGTTAAACGAATTATATCAAGATGCCTTGAAATTATATTATAGCACTCCTTGATTAAGAAGCTAAAATGTTTTCTGTCATTTGTTCCTTACAAGACTTAAAATTGTTTGGGACATTCTTTATTTTATATTTCAACATCTGGTTCATATTAAGATGAGTGAGCATAGCATATGTATAGCCAGAGCCCCCTGACTTACGAAAAGAAAGGCCCAGCTCATAACTACAGCTTTGTCCTGCCCCTTTCTCACTTTCTTCACCATGGTTTCCCCACTGTCTTTTCTCCTTGCCACAATTTGTTAACATTTTTAAAATTCTTGCCCAATAGTTTCATGTCCCATAAGCATCCTCAGGACAGTCTCAAATTTCAAAATGAAGAATGTTTAGCTCTGTAGTTAATTAAATTTAAGTTTTTTGTGGAGTGACTACTCAAACTACTAAATACTACTTTTATCTGAAAAAGCCGCTGAGAGCTCCTTATACCTGCTTCAGTTTATGTAAATTCTCTGAGAATGATCTAGAGCTGCATAACTCTAGATAGCATAGATATCTACATAACATTTATAGCGGCTTCTTTGAACAAGGAAAAGTACCTATGATTTTTCTCTTTTTGCTCAGGGATAATGGGGTTTCCTTTTACCTTCTGAGATAGAATTTTTTAAATGGGTGAGTAGGCTTTTTCAATATTGTTACAAGGGTCTGCAGTATAACCTGCAACTCCTACAAATATTGCAAATATTTCTTTAAATTGTACAGGAAAACAAGCCAACTTCTAACATCTTTGGACAGAACTTTAACCAATAAGTAATTTTATAACTATGGGGTCACCAAAGCTACTGTCCTGATTCCTGATAGAGACAAAAATTCTATTTCCTTGTAACAAGGCAAGGAGAAATGCTTATTTTATTCCTGATAATTTCCAGAACTAGAATAAAAGTTTTTTTTTTTCTTTCCATTTTTGGACCTAAATCTGCCAATTGGCATTTTGTGCATGAAATATGAAGTTACTCTTTTTTATAGAAAATAAGTTAGGTCCCTGAAAGGCTTGTCCCTAAGTAATGATGTTGGTAATGAAAGCCTTTGAAAGGCTGAAAAGCTAAATAGTGGCACCAAAGCGTTTGGTGCCTCTGCAGGAGTGCAGGGTGGCAGCTCGTTGTTGAGAGTTGCATGCTGTAACCAAGTGGTCAGCAGTGAAATAAATACTTCTAGAATGTTCCCATCAGTGTGAATTTTTGTTATCTAGTTTATTTATGTACATAGGACCTTCTAGGTATATTTCTACCTAAACTCAGTGGGTTAAAAAAATGAGAAGAGGCATCATAGAATGACAAAGGAATTTTAAAATATGGTTTAAGATTATGATGGTAGAAAAAGAACAAGACTGTCATAATATGGCTCCTACTTCTGTTCTTTATTGGAAGTAGTGGGAAGGGAAGATCTGCACCAAACAGAATAGAAAGTGTAGTGTACAGGGCTGTTAGGGGCAAGACACCTAATTTACTTTGGGAAGGAGTGATAAGAAGAGGAGAATGGGATATTCCAGACAGAGTCAGTGGCTTATACAAAGTCATGAGTTACAAGAATAAGGTGCAGTTTAGGAACTGTAATTAGCTGGTTCAATGTACCTGGTAGGGTAAGTGTAGGCAATGGAGACTTAGGAAGAAGAGCTAGAGTGGCCCACTGTCATAAAGGGACTTGTCAACTATGCTAAGGAGCGTAGGCTACACTAATGTCCAGGGCAAGAGATGACATCAGATTTATAGTTTCAAATGATCGTTCTGGCCATAGTATGAAAGATAATATTAGGGAGGGATAAACCTAGAAGTAGGAAAGTGCAACTAGGGAGCCATCCTTAGTGTTGGCTAAATGAGACATAGGAGACAGGTTTCAAATGATTTCCTAGAAAGAAGTTATCCCAGGTGCCAAATAATAGCTAACACATAAATGCTTGCTTTATTGGGAGCTAATTTAATTTCACATTGAAGTAAGTACTGGTCACACAATATGAGTGAAGAAACTTTTTACAAAGGATACCCCTCTGAGGTACAGAGAGTTAATTTGTCCAAAGTTGCTGAGTTAGAAAGTGATGGAGCTGAGATTTGGACAGTTTGGCTCCAGAGTCTGCTTTCTCCACTATACTACCCCACCAAGTAGTCAAATAAGTACCAAAGAATATTTTGAATTTAGCAATTAGGAACTTAATCATACAGACAAGTAATTCCAGAGAACTGGGGACAGTTCGCAGTAGGTTGAGGATTGTGTGAACTACTAGGAAGAACTACTCTTATAAGCAGCTTTTTTGGTAGTTACAACACTGAACTTCCTGAGATGCTTATTAAATTAAGAAATCTCACAAATGTTAAAATACAGCAATATTTGGCCAATTGTACATCTGTTCATTTAAATGTCAAACTGGTTCTTAAGCTTTTTGGAAAGCCTTTGAAAATCTGGTGAAAGGTGTGTGCCTTTACCCCAGAAAAACGTTCACGTGTACATGCATACCGATAATCACACACTATGTCAAGGGAACAAGAACTCCATAAAGCCTGTTAGTCACCCAGTGGTCCATGATCCCCCAGGTAAGAACCCCAGATATGTAGAATGTGGAACTCAAAGGTAAGTACCCAGAAGCTTTGTAAACTGTCCAGCTCTGGTGAATTGGAAAAACTATAGTTTGAACTAACTTTGTGGATGAAATGCTTTCTTGGAAGATTGTCTACAAAAAAAGATTCTATTTTCCTGTAGTACATTTTAGGGAGCTGGTTATACAGAAGAATATTTTGGTCTCAGTTCCACAAAATCACATTTAAGGATCTTAAAGTTTTCTACTTTTATCAGTAGGAAGTCCGGCAAAAGCAAGTTAAGTCAAATGGATAATTATTTTTGCACACACAGTGTTTTAATGTTACGTGTGTAAGAAAACATCTCATAATTTAATTTCCCATCTTATTGGGAGTTTGTATGACTAAAGGCTTGAACGTTGGTGGTCACACAATTAAGACTTTTTGGTTCATGTATTTAGCAAAACTGATTAAACCCTCCCCTGCTTGTCTTCAAACAGCTCAGCAAAAAGGTGAAGTGCAGTGGGTGTATAGCTGTTATCACTATAATTGCAAATAAACTGGTTGGACCAAATAGCTTGTACTGTAAAGGCCCCCAAAGAAAATTTATAGCATGTTACATAATTTGAGATAGAATGGGCAAATTGAGTCTCACATCCTATTCTTATTTGTTACAGCAATGGTTGACCCAACAGTGTAAAACTATCTCGAGAAGTTTAGTCACTCAGTTCTAATAAAGTTTGTTTCAAGTGCTGTAACTGAAACCATGTTTTAGATTAGAAAAACTGTTGGAAATTTGACTTTCATATACTAACCAAGACATCCAATTTTTTTTCTTCCATAACCTTCATTTACTGAGAACTATGTATTAGGCATTTTATACATGTTATTACAATCCTCATAACCATTTTCCCAGCTTGCCCAAGGCCACACAGCAAACAAATACTTAGGTTCAACTCCAGAACTGCTGGATGCCTACCCAGCACACCTTTCTGGTTCCTGTTCCTGAACAATCATGCAGACATGCTCAGCTTGAGCGTTTGGCATTTTGCTTTGTCCTGTCAAGTTATTTAATTTGCTTTTTTGGGGAAAGGCATATCTATTTTAACAATTTCATTCCATTCCCTTATTTTATTATTATTCCATTCTCTTTAATTTTTTTTTGTCATTTCTCCTGTATTCCTTGTTGATGTTTTAATTGCTTTTTTCTCATTGAGTTCTTATTTGCCATTTTTCATCCTTGGTTTGACTTTTTCATTTGGCCTCAATGTTAATTCAACATTTTTCCACATCTGATTCATGTAAAATGTAGCAAAATGATTTTTGAATCTTCCCTTCCTAGTCCTTTTGCCTGTTCTCTCTTTTCCTCACTTCTTTTTCTCCCTTTCCATTTTACTTCATTTTCCTAGATGCTGTTTTTACTGAGGAGTTAATGTCATCCTTCAACTCTGCTCTGTAAGCAAGAGCTTCAAAATCAACTGTTATGTGTGTTCTTTATTTTTAGACCGTAGTTTATCTTCCCTTTTATTGCTTTTATAATATACTATCTTCTCTTATTACTTAATCCAGATATGCCCCTGCTTTAAGGAATCCCTTTACTAAAAATTCCAAACGTGGCAAGAATTCTTCAAGAACAAGCTTCACTGGTTTGCCTTCTCTACTTAGGGCGTCGGCTCCAGCTTGTAGCATCGATAACTCTGAAGTACTCCTGTCTATCCTCACACTGGAGGTCCAGACCAAAATTTCTTGCTGCTTATTGGATATCTGTGTCTGAATGGCCCATAAATATGTAATTGCATCTAAAACATTACCTCCATTTCAACACTCAAAGGTAAAAACTACCTTGGGCTTCCTGCTGTATTTCAGGTTTTAGGCATCACCTTTACCTGAGCTACAAGTCATGAACTACATTTGATTCCTGATTTTGCCTTCCGCCTCTCAACTGTTAACCAAAGTCTGTTTTTAATAACCACTCATACATCACGTCCTTTCCCTTGGCCTTAGATTCAAGCTCTCATTAACTTAACTTGGACTCTTGCAGTGGCCTCCTTACTACTATCCTTACATAAGTCCCTTTTCCAACCCAGCGCTACCATGTTAGCACCAGAAATTTACTTAAGGAGTTGATCACACCCTCATTCCCTATAGAATAAAAGATCACATGCCCTGCAGTCTGCCTCCCGCAGTCTGTGCTTTGTGTCACTCCAGACTCATCCGCCACTTCCCGCCCCCCACCTCTTTTGTTTGAACCCTGCCACATTATCTGTTCTCTGCCAGCCAGGCACTTTACCTTGTGCCTTGGCTCATTAGTACCTTCTCTCCAGAACGTCTTTTTGTAAACTATACCCCTCTCCTTTTCCCTTTTGATTTAAAAGAATCTAAAGGTCTGCTTATCTTTCAGAGACCCAGCTCCGATGTCTCCTTTGGAAAGCCTTTCTGATGGTCTCATGTGTGTCTTCCCACCAACCTGGGAGAAATTACGGTTTCATCCTCCCGTAGCAACTTGTCTACATTTCTAGTGTAGAACTCACCAATTTAGAATAGTGGTCACTGGGTGCTTGTCTGTCTCCTTGGCGCTCAGTACAATGGCTGACGTTAGAGGGACTCAGCGGTATTTGCAGAAAGGGTACGTTGACTTAAAAAAGATTATGTGCAAGTTTTCTGTAACTGGGCTATTCTGCAAGTCATGGATATGTACATCATTTGAGTAAAAGAAAAAAACAAGAGTGGAATAAAATGGCATAGGGCTAGTAAGGGAATGGGGAAGGAAAGAGGCATGTTAAAAAGAAGTCACAACAAAAGTCCAACAGAAAGATTCTGTATGTAGTGAACAGATTGGAGAAGAGGAAGAGAATAATATAGCAAGTGAAATCAGTCCTTTAGGGCAGAAACAATTGAAAGGTAAGAGGGTGAAGAGGGAGGAGAGTGGGGCAAAGAGGTAAATTAGGCTTGAAACCAAACATGAAGTCAGACTGGCCATCTCGGGCTGGCCCTGTTCTTAGTTGACCACAGAGCCTTCGGGCCTGTGGTTGCTTTTATGTTGTGTGGATAGTAGTAAATGAGCTTTTCATGTCACTTAACTCCTTACCAGTTTGTTATCTAAAAAAGTGACTTCACCCTGACCGGTTTGTTTGTCCTCATCCCACAAAGTGAAAGGTCACCAGTTTGATCCCAGGTCAGGACACATGCCAGGGTTGTGACTTTTGTCCCCAGTTGGGGCTCATATGAGAAGCAATCAATGCGTCTCACCCTCTCTTTCTCCCTCCCTTCCCTTCTTTCTAGAAATAAGTAAAATCTTAAAAAAAAAAGGTGACTCCAGTTCAATAACAAATACCTTGACTGACATGCCCTATAAAAGAAGACATATTTTACCATGTCCCAGTTACAAAACTGGTGTAAGGCTTAGTTTTGACCAACTGATGGCAGTTTCCACCTGCCCAACTTCTCCCAGTGGTTCCCTTGCAACTAGTGTAGGTAGACAATGAAGTTTGTAGGGCTGGGCATGCAAGGACAGGTGGTACGACCTATGGAAGTAAAGACTGAAGAGCACATCAATTTGTATGTTTTTTGTTTGACCATTTTGTTAACATGCAGAGTGTGTTTATCTGCCCACCCAGAAGTGTAAAATAAATGTACTCTGACCTTCAAATTGGTTTTCCTTGATTTTTTTTTTATCTTTACATTCTGCTTTCTCTTCCATCTTTCACAAACTCAATTTTCCCCAGTAGCAGAGTTGGGACTTACTATTAACAAAACTCTATGCACCAAAGAGTCTTTAAAAAAAAACAGTGGTTTTAATCTTTTAAGATAGTAATGGGATGTAAAGTATAGGATAGAGAATACAGCCAGTAATATTGTAACAACTATGTATGGTGACAGGTGAGTACTAGACTTATCGGGTGATTACTTGATAATTTCTGTAAATGTCTAATCACTATGTTATACACCTGAAACTAATGCAATATTGTAAGGTAACCATAGTTGAAAAATTAAAAATTAAAAACACTAAATTAAATACTAAAGAACTTACAAGCTAAAGTTTAAGATCTGCTAAGGCCCATGCACTTGTTTGTGGGATTTTGGTAAATACATTTTTGTTGCTTTTGCTACAATAACCATGTAGCCTTGTTAAAATCCTATACAATCCGATACAAAGCTTATTTATGTCCACCAGTTAGGTGAACACTATGGGACAAGGCTGACGAAGCATAGAGTTTACATGAGAGTACAACAGAGACGAATTCCTGGCGTCCCATGCAGCGGGTCTGTGCAGGTGACGGGGAGAACACACCGAACTGGGGACTGGGGAGATCTGGCTTCTAGACCCAGCTCCCCACTCTGCCCCTGTGGCACTTGAGGTGAGTTACTTAGGCCTCAGTTTCCCATGGTTGAAAAGGGGAGCGGTGTCTGCTAGCCTACCTCATGTGGATTATTGGAGGATAAAGGCAGGTAAAAATGCAATCATGGTTGAGTGCTTTATGAACTGTTAAGTGGCCTGTAAGTGCCACAGAATGTCACTATTATCATTACTGTTATTGTTACCCTAACTTAAGGGAAACATTCATGACCAGCACAATCCACCTTTTCCTCTGGAAACTAACAACTCAGTCCCCTGATGATTCTACTCGTGATGGAGCAGCCTCCTGGTCTGGCTGTACTGCCGCATGTAGGATCCCTTAGCACCGGCCCGTCCCTGGGTTATGACTTACCGTTTCCAGAAGAGGGAAGCAAAACTCCAACCCAAAGGCTCTTGTCACTTCCTCCAAGTGTCTAACAGTGTTTCCTTGAGAGGTCACAACTACACTGCAAAGAGAATAGCATATTTATTTATTTATTTATTTGCTAGTCTTTAAAATTTTTTCAATTACAGTTTATATTCAATGTTATTTTGTATTAATTTCAGATGTACAGCACAGTGGTTAATCATATACTTTACAAGGCATTCCCTCTGATATTTCCAGTACCCACCTGGCTTCATACATAGTTATTACAATATTATTGACTATATTCCCTATGATGTACTTTACATCCCTGTGACTATTTTATAACTACCACTTTGGACTTCTTAACCGCTTTTTCAAGCAGCCCCCCAACCCCCTACCCTCTGGCAACCATTAGTCTGTTAAGAGAGAAGCTTCTAACAAATGGTCTTTAAGTGACATATGAGACATATATCATTATTATAAATACTACAATATAACAAACATTCACTCATTTCTAATAATATTTTGTCTTTTCTGTATCTCTGAAGAAAATAATTTGGGCTGTTCCTTTAATCTCATTTTAATGATTTGACTGGTGTAACCAGAAACTCTTAGCCATGTTTTCCCGTTTAATTCCAGAATTTTACATCTCACGTAGCACTGGTTTTTAAATATTGTTTTTAATAAGAAGAAAATAAGTTGTTCAGGCCTGATTCTTTCCATTTAAGATGCCTACCTAAGTTCAAAAAATGATCCCCGACACTGTCTAAATGTGTCTGTCATAGAGTGTGTCTGTGTCATTTGGAGCAAATGTTATTTGTATCTAGTCTTTCTTATTGTAGCATTATTCAAACTTGTTTTAAAATATCCTTGTGCTTTTATACTGTGTAAGAACTCCAGCAGCTAACATCTGAACTGTTTCGATAGCATACAAGGTCCTCTATATTTTCGAGTGAGGTTGCAAGCCACTCTCCCCAACTTTGAGATACATTTTCTCATCTGTTATCAGAATACCTGCTCTGTGATTAAAGAGAAAAGTGCAGGGAGATGCTCCACGTATCAAGAGAGTCTCAAGCACTGGGTGCTTGTTCTCTCTTCATAAGTGATAAAAAGAGCCAATTCTGAATCTGATGCTTTTTCTGCCTGTTTTACTACAATCAGGGTACAAAGGCATTCTGTTACAGTTTTTCAATTTTTTCTGCTCTTGTCAGTTCATTTCTGGCTTTGCTCTTTTGAAAGAAAAAAAAAAAAAGACTTTCCCATTCCAACCCCCTCTACCACCACCTCCAAGTCAGAGTCATCTTTCCATTCCAGCTAAACCTCTTCCTGTTCTTAAGAATTGCATCACATTCTTGGCGTAATGTAGACCAACACTCCCATGTGGGCACCAGGGACTGTGCGGGCCTTTATTGGTTGAAAGTTCCTGTCTGGTGAGCACAGAGTAAGTCACTCACTTCCTGACTTCCAGCCCTGGCTGAATTCATCTCTGGAAAAAAAAATATTCCTTGGATTTTTGTTTGTTTATAAATCCCCTTCACCTCAAATTGGCAGTTACAGAATAGTCACAGGGATGTAAAGTACAGCTTTGGGAATATAGTCAATAATATTGTGATAAGTATATATGGCGCCGGGTCAGTACGGGAAATAGTGAGAGGAACACTATGTTAAGTAGGTGATCATCTAACCACTAAACTGTATACCTGAAACCAATACAGAATAAAATTGAAAGATAAATAAATAAATAAATAAATAAATAAATCCACTTCACTTCAGCCCAATCCTGGAACGAGCAAGATTTTTACCAAGTAGGAACTGTGTGGAAGGTCATTTGGGGGAGAGGGTGGAGTGTGCACACCTTGCTGTCTGCCTTTGCTGTTTCTGATTCTTCATCTCTCTCTCTCTCTCTCTCTCTCTCTTTTCAATTCAGTCTAATCTGGCATCGGCTCCCACTGCGCTGATTGAGCTTTTGCTTAGAACAGTAGTGGTCCCTCTGTCACTAAATTCAATGGACACATCGGTCTTTATCTTATGTGTCTCTAAGTAGCTGATGCTATTGACCTTGAAAGACCCACTGTCTTCCTTTGGTTTCTGTGCACTAGTATTTTTGTCCTGCCTTAGTCAGGGATCCTCAGTGTTCTTTGCAAGCTCCTCCTTCTCTATAAACTTCTTAAGTGTTGGGGTTCCTCAGGATCCTGACCCACATCAGCCCCTTTTCCCTCTACGCATTCTCTGAGAAATCTTATCCCCTTCCACGGCTGGTTGAGGTCTATATGCCAATGACTTCCAAATCTCTACCCCCTGCCACTGAACTCCAGACATACATTTAATTGCCTTCTAGAACTTCTTCCATTGGAAATTCCTGGAACCATATTAATTCACTCACTCAAATAAGGTTCTAATGTTCCTTATCCAAATATATACCATAACATCCACCCTACTGCTCTCGCCAGAAACCTAGGATTCATCCTTGATTACTCTTTTGCTCACCCTCCACATTTAATCAACAACCAAATTCAGTAAAATCTACTTCTTCAAATCTTCCCATTTATTCTCATCCCCACTTGGCTTAAGTGATCACCTCTGGATTTTTGCAACTCTTTGCTAGTTTTCTGCCTTCAGTTCCTCTCCCCTTGGATGAATTTCCACCAGCGACCAGAAAGTTTTTTGTAAATGCAAGTCTGATCAATTTATCTCCCTCTGTTTAAAATCATGTTGTTCCTTCTAACTATCCTTAGGCTAGAGTCCAATCATTTAGGCGGGGCTCATAAGCCCTTTGGGATCAGCAGCCTGCCCAGCAGTCACCAGTCCACACTCCACTCACATTGGATTCCAGTGTTTCAAACACACCTGCTTCCTCTTGCTCCTAGGCATTCACAGATGCTCTTTCCTTTACGTGGAACAACCTAGTATAGGACCTTGAACGTAGCTAATCTAAATCCCACCCCCCAATTGTCAGTTATCTTGTTCCTGAATTAAAATTGGATTGGGACACTTCATTTTTTTTTTTTGTAACTTTTGGGAAGCAGATCTGAAACTCTCCAGTGCCCACTGCCTTTCTTTTCCTTTTTTCTTTTTTTTTTTTCAATTTATTGAGGAAGGAGGGGTGGGGAAGAGAGAACACTGGTTTGTTGTGCCACTTATTTATACATTCAGTGGTTGCTTCTGGTATGTGCCCTGACCAGGAATCAAACCCTCAACCTTGGTGTATCAGGGCAATGCTCTCATCAACTGAACTGCCTGGCCTGGGCTACTTCAATTTTAATTAATTCTTTTTAAATTAGTAAACATGCTTTTAAACTAAATTTATTGGGGTAACATTGGTTGATAACATTGAATAAACTTCAGGTGTACCACTTTGTAGTACAACATCTGTATTCTCTATTGTGTGTTCCCGACCTGACACTGGTCTCCTTCCATCACCCAGTATTTGACCCCTTTTACCTTCTTTGTCCTTCCCCAAAGTCTTTGGAGTTAGTGAAATCTTGAATTAACCTTATTTCATCCTATATATTTCTTATTTCTTTGAAAAATATTTCCAAGGCTATGGTCTCATGAAAATGTATTTGAACAAATTAACTTAGACCAGGATTGACTTTTACCATGGCTGAATGTGAACTGGAACATGTGTTTTAAATTACTGGAATGTTTTCTTCATTGTTCATCATGACATTTTATCTTTGGAAATTCTTTTCTCATTTCCAGCTGACTTCTATCACTTTCCTTTCTCACCTCTCAACCTTCCCCTCTCAACCTTCCCCTCTGGTTGCCCTATACTTGCCCCTTGGTGGATCCAGTTTGCACGCAGCGGTAGCTGCTGTAGGGCCCTGGTTAAAGCAGACCGGCTCAGACTGCAACAGGAAAGCTCTGAATCGAAAGCAAAGGAGAGGAAGCACAAACCGATACCCACCGCAAAGCTGCTGAGTGCCCAGCATGACCCAAGCCGCAC